CTCAGCCATAAAAAGAATAAAATAATGCCATTTGCAGCAACATGGATGGACCTAGAAATCATCATTCTAACTAAAGCAAGGCAGAAAGAGAAAAAAAATACCGTATCACTCATCTGTGGAATCTGAAGAAGAAAAACAGGACACTATGAACTCATCTATGAAACAAACAGACTCACAAAGTAAACAATCTATGGTTACCGGGGAAAGGGGATGGGAAGGGACAAATTTGGGAGTTTGAGAATTGCAAATGTTAGCCACTATATAAAAAACAGATTAAAAAAACCCAAAAAACAAAAAAATGGGTTGAGTTGGAAATGTTGCTTCTAATAAATAAGAGAATTCAACAAAAACATTTTAAGTTGTTTAAAGAGAAGCTTTTGGCAATTGTACTCCCTCATTTTCTCCAGGATTTGTATTGAAAATCACATTAAAAAAATAAATTAAAAAATAAAAATTATATATTGATACCATGATCCTTCTTTCACTCAGACAAAAGTAATGTGCTAAACAATAGCATTCTCTGAATAGTTGGTTTTGCCCATTCTGAATTCTAGAATCTTAATTGCAGTAGGAATCCTAAAGAGATTCTTTAACTTGGTATATTTATTTTCCTATTAGGATATTAGTTACTAAAGTAAAAAATTGTCACAAATTCAGTGGCTTAAAACAATGGACACTTAACAGTTCTGGAAATGAGAAGTACCAAATGGGTCCCACTGCGCTAAAATCAAGGTGCAGGGGAAGATTTGTTTCCTTGACATTTCCAGTTTCTCAAGTCTGCCTGCTTCCCTTGACTTGGACCCTTTTCCATCATCAAAGCCAGCAATGGTGGTCCAGTTTTTCTCATGCTGCCTTACTCTGACACTGACTCTTCTGCCTCCCTCTTTTACTTTGAGAGTCCCTTTTGATTACACTGGGTCCATCTAGATATCCAGGGTCATCTCCCAATCTTTTTGTTGTTGTTTTTGGGGGCAGGAATTAGGTTCATTTATTTATTTTTTAATGGAGGTACCAGGGATTGAACCTGGGACCTTGTGCATGCTAAGCAGACACTCCACCACTGAGATATACCCTCCCCCTAATCTCCCAATCTTAAAGTCAGATTAAATAACTATTTCCATCTGCAACCACATTATTTCTTTGCCTTGTAATGTGGCACAGCCACAGGTTCTGGGGATTAAGATGTGGACATCTTTGGAGGAGGCACTACTGTACCTACTATGGCTGTCTACAGTCTATGGTCTAGAGTATATGGATTTTTATATCAACATTATAGGTTAAGGCTTTAAAATTATTTTTGCTATTAATTTTTGTTATCTATTTCTCTACCTATTTATACATATATATCTTAAATCTTGTTTGAAGGAGGCAATCTATAAAACAGAAAAATTAAAAAATGTAAACCTGTTAAAAATATTTCCTATAATCATGATTAAAAACTCATGTATAAAATTCTCATATAAAAAATAAATAAAAAAATAAAATTCTCATATAAATGGATAATAAAAACCTAAACATCACACTCAAATAAATAGGAAGATAGCAGATTAAACACGTTTGCAAACAATTTCTGGAAAACAGACATTGGAAGTGGGTTGATGATAATACAGG